AAGTCTTTAGTTTAGCTTAAAATTATACTTCCTTAAGCTTATCTTCTTTATAGGCGGAAACGCTATCTATTCTAAGTATAAGGGTATTATCTATCTATATTCTAATAATGCCTAACGTATTAAGGCTAGTGTTTATAATTAAAAGGTAGGAATTATAGGTTAAAGTAAATATATTAAAGCTCTTAAGGTAATATTATTAATATATACGATACTAATAAACTCTAGCTTCTATAATTCTATATAAGGGCTTAATAATATAAATAATCGTTTTATAAGGGTATTTATCTTATAATTCGGTAGGTAAATAGGTTAGAATTATCCGGAATAGCTCGGTTTAGGATTATAGGTATACTTAAGTAATATCGCGAAGGGAAAGGGCTATACCGTTGCCTTAAAGAAGTCCGGGGGCAATAGCTAAAATAAGTCTTTAACTAACGCGTTAAATTATTAAGGATTACGTTAGTAAGGTAGTCTTCTTAAAGTCGCTATATCCTTAAATAATAAGTCGTAATTTCTTATATAGTTTAGTATTTTTACCTTTAACTTTATAAACTATTTAAGAGCGAAAGATATAATAATTACTATAAATTATTCAATTATATCTTTTAAAGCTAAATATACCTCGTCCTATAAGGTTAGTAATCTTAATATTATTAGATTCTTTAAATAGGGCGCTAGGAGCAGTAATAATGCCTTTATTCCTAAGTTTAATAAATAAAGTATATATATCTTCTTCCTTCTAAGTTAGGAAACTTTAGCCTAAAGGAGCGGTTATTATAATTAAATCCTTTAGCTTATTCTTAGATCCGGGTAGGCGTCCTCTCTTACGGGGTGCCGGGGGGTTAGGTCGGGCAGGGGTTTCTTCTTCGTCTTAGGTAAGGGTAGGAACTTAAGGGATTATAGAGTTATTACGTAGGTATAGCTATATATACGTAGAACGAAAGACTTAGGGGCTATTAACTATATTAACCGTAACGTTATATCTATTAATTAAAGTAATCTTAAAAGGTCCTTGCTAGCCGTCTTTTTCTCTCTAAATATAAACTTTACTTTATAGTAAGAGGGATAAAACGTCGGCGGTAGACGGTCTATTACGCGTGCGAAGGGCATCTTTAACTTATCTTTCCGCTAAGAGTTAGTAGAGCGTCTTTATCGCTTTTTATATCGCGGCCGACCTTTTTAGGGTAGAAGTAAAAGGGGGCGATTCCGTAGTTAAACGAGGGTAGGCGCTAAAGATAAGCAAAGTTAGAATAATCCTATTAGGTCTAGCTATATCGTTAATAGCTTTTATAGCTATTTAGAGCACTACTTCGGCGGAGGTAACGTTACTTAGTTCCGCGTTTATAATATTATACGCGCGTTAGAGGGGGGCGTAATATCTTTTAATTTTTCCGATAGACTAATACGTCTTAATAGGCACTTAAGAGCATTTAATCCCTATAAGTTTTACTTCTTAGCGGAACTCTATTAAAGTAAAGTTAGTTCCTATATCGTATCGAATAGTATTAAGGGGTCTAAGGTATATATTAATCTAAACGGTCCGAAGGGTCTCCTATATATCCTTAGCTAATATTAATAGTAGGAATCTTACTCCTTAGAAAGCAGTAGCTGCGTTTATAACGTATAAAATAGGGCGTTATAGGCTTCCTAGGTATATTATATTAACGAAAATTTCGTAATTAAACTCTTAGTTATCCTTAAGGGTAAATTTAAAGCGTCTTAGGGCTTACGAGTATATTTAGTAGTAATAGTAGAACTTAGAGATAGTCTCTAATATGCCTATCGAAACGTCGCTATAGCCGGCTTACTTTAAAAGGTAATATAGCTTAGGGACTACTAGGTGTCTAAATCGTCGGTAAAGTATACGAATCTTAGTCTCTATAAGAAAAGCGATCGAGTCTTTAGCTTTCGAGAAAAAGAACTAAGGGTGTCCCTATTTACGGGTGATAGGGATACTTATTTAGCGATTAGTTTAATAATTAGTATATTCGATAGTGTCTTTAATATTATTAAAATAGATTCTAAGACGGTCTATATCGGCTAAAGAAAGTAGGAAAGGGGTAGGAGTCTAAAGGATATAGAACGTGATCCGTCCGACTAGTGTTTTAAGGGCGATAGAGCTAACCGAGTAAATAGCTTCGCTATTCCCGAATTTAATAGTAGCCTAGCCGGGCTTAGACCTATCTAGGGCTATAGAGGGATCTTCTCGTTATAAGGCAATATACTAAGAGTAACCGGCTATAGAGACTTTAGCTGCACCTATGTTAATTATAATGCCTTAGAATTTATCTTTTAAATAGCGGTCTTTAATAATAAATTATAAGGCGGGAATAGTGTTTTAATCTATACGGTTAGCGTCTTTACTAGTAATTAAATAGTTGAACGCTTGCTAGCAGAGCATTTAACTTGCTTGCTACTATTTCGGGTTAGCATCGTTATCCTGATTCTCATCCTAGTCGCCGTTAATCGTCCCAGTCTCATCACTAGCGGGGTCGTCTTTAATGCCTTCGTAGTCCGTTACATAGGCCGCGAGTTCCACGGGCGTGCCCGTGAAGTAACAGTAGGCTATATATTGACTCTTAGCCTTCTAACGTTCTTCGGCCGTGTGTTTAATAGACTAGTAGCCTTCTTTGTTGCATACGAAGCACTTCCTAGTTTAGGGGCGGTTATTGTTGCCTTAAGGGCGTTGGTTAAATCTACCGCGGTTATAGCTCTAGCCTCTAAAGTGTCTGCTTCCTCTATATCTACTACTTCTTTCGCGGTTATTATTATATCGACGATTAAGGTAGTACCTCTAGTTATTATCCTAGGCGTATTAGGGGGTTATGCTGCGTGCGAGATATGTTTTAATAGAAGAACGAAGATCTATAAACAACGCCTCTATCTTATTTAATAGCTTAAAGAGGGCGTGCTCTAATTCTAGCACGCCGCGGTAGGCGTTAATAAGGGTTATTCGAATATAAACTTTATTAGTAAATTCCCTACCGAGGGCACGCTAATACCGTTGCAACTTATCGAAGAGTAGGTAGAGCACTTCCTAGAGTAACTTCGTCGCGTTAGCATTATCTATACGAAGCTTAGTAAATATAGTTATAGTCTAATCTGTGTAGTAATAGGCGTGGTTTACTTCTATATTAAAATGCTACTTAATACTATTATATACTTATCGGAATATTGCGGTCTAGCTAATATAATCGATATAATATATCTAGGCTCTATCGGCGAGGATATAAGGAAGTAGGGCGTAGAATTAGTTTAGTTTAAGTTAGATATTATAGTAAAGGCTTATAAAGATATAGACTTTATTATCGAAGAGGTCGTACGGCTCTCTAGTATAATTCTTATTCTTATTCTAGAGCTTTATAAACTTATACTATATATCTACGTTAACGAGAGTATTTTAGACATTATCCGGTAAAAGCCTTATATATATATATTAAGAGGTATAGTTATAATAAGCGTAACTATATTCGCTCGCACGGGGGCTTTAGGGGCTTTAGCGATAGGGGCTTAGTCTTAAATAATATTAGAAAGCTAAAAATAATATATTATCGGGTGCAGCGTTCGTTAAGTCGGTGCGTGTGCCGGGGCCATAGGGGTCGGAGCTAGGGCCGCGGGAGTCGGGGCTGTCGCAGTTAGAGTCGGGGGAGCCGGGGTTTAAGACGAAGGCGGAGGGGTTCGTAGTTCGATGCTAGGGGTAACGTTCGATAAAGGGAGCAGAGCCTATAGCTGTGTTGCCCGTTAGGCTTACCTGCGATACGCTAATATTCCCTTATCGAATTCCATTGTTATAAACTTATCGTCTAGCTAGATAGGGAGGTCTTCGGCTGTCTATAAGGCAATGAATTATCTAACTAATAAACCTTTCTTCCTTCCTATATAGATGCTATGCCTACGAAGGAGAATCCGTAATTCTCTTTTATAGTCCTATTAGCCTCTCTTCTATATAGCTTCGGTCTAGTCCTTAAAATGCTCTTAGAAGTATTTAAAGATCGCGATGCCGTGTATATATATACTATATTCGCTATACGATATAAATCGTGCGATATAAGTTATAACGGCGATCTTATCTTCTTCTTCCGGTATAATATGGTTATCCTAGAGCATTGCGTCGATATGCCTATAGAGGCTCTACGGGATAGTCGTCTTCTTTATTAGTTCCTCGATCTAGCCGGCCGGGGCCGGGTTCGAGCTTGCTATTATAAATTAGGTCTCGAAGAGATTCTTTACGTGTTGTTAGGGGTCAGGGGTTGCGATATAAGTCGCACTATTAATTAGTGTTAGGCAGCCGATTAATAGCTTAAAAGGGTCTCTCCGTAAGTTAGGCAGGAGGAGATATCCTTATTCTTAGCATAGATAGCTCTCTCTAAGTGTATAGATGCGGCGTTACTAAAGACACGGGTCTAATATACCTTCGAGGGCTACGATCTATCTCTTCTTCCTTGCTGTTCTATGATTGACTAAGTCAACCACTAATTAGTATTGGTAGGTCTCTTTGCATGTAAAGGGTGGTATTAACCGGTGTATTGTATTCGTCTATATTCTGCTCTTTAAGGGAGGGAGGAGGCCACGATGCTAGCTATATGGCCTCATCCGTACACGTGACAGCGCACGTGAGCTAGCTAGATAAGTATAATAGATTACTATAATTCCTATATTATCTATATTAAATAACAATCGTTTCGCGATTTAATTTAATATATTTGCCTCTCTTAAGATCTACTAGTATAATAAATCGACCTTACGAATTTTATCTAATCTAAATATACTAGCGACGTATTCGAGCTGATTTGGTTTTGCTAAATATGGATCTGATTTTAAAATATTTAGAAACGATTTATTGTTTGCAACCCTGGATTCTATGCTAAAACTTTCCAATCATTGGTTTGGTTCGTTTTTTTTCGTGCCCTCGTTAGGAAATTATTTGCCAGGGTCCTCAATTCCTGCTGCCGTAGGGTTGTTCTTTGCATCGCTAGGTCCTTCCTTAGTTTCCCCAACCGCTAATTCAGGTCCTTTTTTTCCTGCACTAGGATCTGCTCCGGAAGCACCTTTGGCGACATCGTCTAACACTGCCTTTAAACTTACTGCAGCGTCTTGACCTTGCTTATCATCCTTCATCAGTTTCGAGACGGATTCTACAAATATTCCCATATTTTTGGCAAAGTTTGCGTCTGCCTGTGCCAGATCTGAATCTTGGCCTGTCTCTTTATCTGTAGAGTCGGCCGAGTCGCTAGTAGTGACGGGCAAGTTAGGAGCCAGAGGTTCCCCACCTCCTGAGACGCCTGAGTCGCCAGCCGGAAGTGCCACAGAGCACATAGCAACTACGCGATGAGTTAGAAAGCGAGACAGGGGACAGGTAGACACAGGGTGTCAACGTACAAGCCAAAGCAGCGGCAATAGCAAAGCGGACCATTTTGGCAGTGAGTTCTTTATAAACTGGAAGAAAAGAGGAGTGTTGCGAGCGATGATTTCTTAATGAGTGACAAGTCTCGTCGGTTATGGGGAGCAGTGAGCTTGAGGGTACTAGGCGAAGCTGGGAGTGTCTGGTGAGTGTGATCTCTTGACTGATAGTGATAGCTGGATTCAGATAACTCAGGCAAGGTGACCGTCTATGGTTCTTATACCCTTGGCCTCTAGCAGAAGTCGGACTAACAGCCAATGATCTTTCCTACTCCGGCTCGTGCATAAGTAAACCCTAGCATGATTAGTTTTAGCTGAGTCGTGCGACATAGTTTAAGTTGACCTATTCGTACACTGCTATTATATGCAAGTTTACTAACCTTGTCTAAGCGTTCGGCATAACAATAGTGTGACTAAGGAAGGTGCTAGGGTTGTCCGCATGGGGCCTAAGTAGTGCTAGAGTTGGTCTAGGCATATCGTGAAACGTTAAGCGCCATCTATGGACCCTGACTATTAAGCATGCAGCTCTAGCTGGTTAAGGCGCAGCGCCGATACTGTACGATTAAGTGCGGACATTTCCCGCGCCTGCGTCGCCGACAAGGTTAGAGCCGCCCGCCCGCCCTAAAGCATAGAGTAACTAAATTAAGGTTATCATAGCGTAGGGAAGATTAGCCCTGCATTTATGCAATAGTATCGCAAGCGGATTAAGCCTCTTAGAGGGAGGGAAAGGTACTATTTAGAGACTTTACTATGGCGGCGGATTATAGCGAAAGCTATAATAGAAAAAAAGAGCTTTAAATTAACGAAATTAAAAATATTAATTATATATAAGGTTTATATATATAGGAAGGAGTCAGCAATATAGGTGCGAGGAAGATACGCACTATAGCACCTAATTATGCGGTATCGGCGCTGCGCCTTAACTAGCTATACTAGTCCACTTTATGCTTAATAACTAGAGATATATGCTGAATAGTCAGGGCCCATCTATGACACGGGGGTCTAATGCAAGTGGGATTCGCAACAACGAATTAAACCCCCCCCCGAAACCCCCCCGGGCTAAGCATGAGTTGCATAATTGACCGGGGGATAGATTTTGACTGCGGCGATCCAATCTGCCACGTTGCCCTTCAGACGAACCGGCCACGTCGTCCCAAGTTCCCGTTGCGTACGGCGGATGCGGCAATAAACGATCCCCCTCAGCGAATCTTGCCTAAGCTAGTTTACTTATTTTCTAGCGCTATTTCTATTGACCCGTCATGACTTTACTATTGAAATCCACTAGTTCGAGGCTGTGAGCCGATCCTCGCTGCCTAGCTTCAGCTTGGCATTCGTACACCGGAGACTTGGTTCGACTAAAGTTTACAGCTTTTCTAGAAAGTGGCCAGCACTTGCCGATATGTGTTTGCCGTGATAATATTAATAATGTGCCATGGCGAAGACTTCTAGGTATATCTATATATATGCCTTAAGGAACGTAAGGGTTTATGTCCCGCGCCCGTCCCTCTCACCCCCAAAATCACTGCTTATATTGGCTGCCTACCCGGCTTTGAGTAACGAAGGGCCCAATATGAGTTCTCTCGGGCTTGCATACGCCGAGCGTTAAGGTTTATCCATTCTAGTGGAGTGGAGGGGCTCGGCGGCTCTTGCTTTATTGAGGCCCCGATCGGCAAGGCCTAAAAAAATTAGGACGACTACCTACTAATTTTTATGCGGGCATTCGTACCCCTGTCGCCTTCTTACCCTGCTCTTAATTGCTGAAACCCCGATATGTCTACGCATAGACAGAGTATGACTCTCCATTGTCCCCTCTAGGAACCTTGCATTTACGTTGCTAGTGCGGGGGATCGAGACGAAACCTTAAACGATTCATGCTTATAAAGACGAATGGACACGTACGGATATAATTAAGAAAAACGCTTAAGCATATCTGCGATTCATGAACGTTCAATGCGATGTTGCTAGGAAGTCCGATCGTAAGGTTTCTTAAGCTATTATTTTGACTACTAGGGCGACACGCGAGTCAAAATTCCGGACTTCTCGATTTGTGGACGGCAGACCTAGCATTTAAAGAGTCGTAAGAACCATAACTAGACTGTGGTTACAGTTTCAATTCAATCTGCTTTTGTACACAAACTACCTACCTACTTACTGCTTCCTACCGTTGAATTACCCCAATGAAGATCTCAACATCACTCCTTATTTTTGTTGGGCTGGCTAAAGCTAGTCCATTGTCAGAAAACCAGATTTTCCGACGACAGCCAATACAGGTCAAACCAAGTGATAGAGCAGCAGGGGACCGCTTTTTGGCGGATTGGGCTGTAAGTAGCCTTCATAATTTGAAGAGGCGGTGTGCTAATATTCTGAGCGACTACAGCCTTTACCAGGCATAGGTTTGGGGGGTACCTTTGGCAGTGTGCTTGGGGGAGGAGGTGGTCTTAGTGGTGTTTTTGGCCGTCTGTTTGGCGGTAGTCGCGGTGGTGGTGGTGGTAGTCGCGGCGGTGGCGGCGGTAGTCGCGGCGGTGGTAGTGGTAGAGATCCTCGAGGTGGCGGGCAGTCGGCCGGGCGACATATCGACATCGATGAAGCGACTGGCCTCGGGACCTTTAGGGAGTCTCCAGCGCCAGCTCCAGCGCCACGTCCAGGTAACAGCGGTGGTAGAACAGGAGGTCGTCCTCCACGGGATTATGGACAGTCGGCCGGGCGACATATCGACATCGATGAAGCGACTGGCCTCGGGACCTTTAGGGAGTCTCCAGCGCCAGCTCCAGCGCCACGTCCAGGTAACAGCGGTGGTAGAACAGGAGGTCGTCCTCCACGGGATTATGGACAGTCGGCCGGGCGACATATTGACGTTGATGAAGCGACTGGTCTCGGGACCTTTAGGGGGCCTCCAGCTCGGGCTCCAGCGCCACCTCCACGTGGTGGTAGAATACCGGCGCCTAAGTCCGAGACCCCAAAACCCCCTACGCAAGCAGACTATAAGAAATTTCTCGACAAGAACGCTCAATAAATGCGCATATAGAAGCCAGCGAAAGACTCGAAATACGGACTTTATATGTCGCATTCAGGATGCGTATAATGAAATGCGCGGTTGATAAGCGATGTCATCGAACGTTCTAGATAACATTACAAAAGCACCCTAGGTGGCAAGTGGCAATTTCGCCACCACAAGGCAGTTATATTCCCTTAGGACTATAAGAAGACAGAACTTCTTATATTTATTTTAGATGGACGACAATAAACAAGATTGACTCTTACTTTCTATTCTTTATCCCTACAAGAGTTATGAGCCCGGTTGGCCCTTAGTTGCGCCATCGGATTCTCTTACACCTACGCTTTAGCATAAATCGTCTCTACGAAGAGCGACAGCGCTAGTTTTTAAGATCTACGCCCTTAAAGGTATATAAGCTTAGTCTATCGAGATCTACGTCTACGAAGACGTATAAGCTCAGTCTATCGACTACCATCAGCACTTAGGATAGAGTCACATAAGGAAGCGTCTATCGATTCGTCCCGGGTTAAGCTTAACGGCCCGTTAGACTAGAAATAGTAGATAAGCGTTATTTAGAAATTCGCTATTGCGCACGGAATCTAGGACTTTGTCGACCTAAGTCGACCCCTTAACCCGGCTCTACGGGAACCAAGGAGACCGGAACCATTAGATCTATAGGATAAGGCAATACTTATAACCCTTAATACTAATAAGATTAAAACTTTTAAGCTTCTAACTTCCTAGTACCGTTATAAGTACTCGATCTTTAAGGCATAATAGAAGGCTCTAGTAAGCCTATAGGAATATATCGTTAAAACTTATAGGAACTATTATAATACTATTACCTACGAATATAAAGTTATAAAGGAACTTAGGGTCCTTAAGTAGAGGATTTAGCCTACTAGCTAGGCATAAGAATAAGACGTCCTTAACCGATTTTATTCTACGTTAAAGTCGCCCGATAGGATAAAGATTTCGGATTAGGTTATAAAGTGGCACTAAGTCCTTACCGAAGCCTAATAGCTCGGTATCCCCGACGCCTAAGGCCTTAGACCGACTCGGCTATTCCTTAAGGTAGTTTTAAGAGTAAACTCTACGTTTTCTTATTACTAGCTTAATAAAATAGAAGATAAAGCCTATAGCATCGATCTACTCTAGTAAGGTCGATTTCTAGACGGCATTAATATTAGTATTATTTTTTAGAGGGCTTATTCCCTTACTTCTAATTAAAAGGGTAGAAAGGGCGGAAGCACGTTCGCTACTTAGTAGGGCGAGCATTCTAGCTAAATAAACACTAAACGATCCTCTTAATCCTCTTTTAATAATAATTCCTCTTCTTCGACTATATATCGGATACCTACGTATATATATAGTAAGGACCACCGATTCCCTAACTACTACTACTATAATAAGTCGATTCGGCCGACTAACTAGTAGCTAAGGACTAATATAGAGGCTAAGAAGAAAGAGCTTCTTAAGAAAAAACCATACCTAGTTAGAGTAGTCGAACGTATGCTTAAACACTTAAAAGGGCAGAGTTAGAATCGATAGGATAGTTCTAGTAATAAAAATAATACTCTAAGTATAGGTGAACCGTTAGTAACTACTATAGTTACCTTAAGCTTACCTCTACCGGCAGCCGTATCTATATTATACGTCTACCCGCTTTAAGACCCTATTTTACTTACTTTAGTATTAGATATCTATAAAGTTCGGGATCGGCACCGTTTTATTAACTACTAATCTATAGAGGAAGAAGAAAGACTTCTTTTAGGGAAGGAATTTTTACCTATCCTTAGTCGAGGCACCGTTATTATTAACGTTAGCTATAATCGAACTTTCTAACTTAACTAAGCCTTATATATCCCGTCTTTTTATACTAACGTTATATTAGCCGACTATTTCCGTAAGGTAAGCATCGATTAGACTCTTATAATAGGAGTCGTGTTAAAGAATAGCTAGGAGATATATAGGACGACCCCGATATACGGATAAAACGTCCTCGAATTTATACTAAT